CATCCTCCCCTCCACACTGCTAACCCTGTACGAGCGAAGTTGGCCCAGTATTTCATCAGTCGCTGGGCAAAGGCTCTCTCCTCGATGGTGTAGTTTAGCGAGGGTTCCAGGGGGAGCCCAAAGATGAACTCGATCTCGTAGCCATGGGGCACCCCCATCCAGAGGGGCCAGGAGAGAGTGGATGCTCGGTGTTCAAAGATGTAGGCATAGACCCGAGCACCCTGGGCGGCCAGTCGCCCAGCCAGTTGAGCCACAGGACACACGACATTGTGGTCACCCACTACATCATTCATGGCCTCCCTCAGGCGTGCTGGGTCCTCAGGGTGCAGCCAGTCTGTGTAATGCAGGACCACAGCCTCGGCAGCCAGATCACTCGCCTGGGGGACCCCGACCCGCACCCCGGCCAGGAACTGGGCTCGGCTGATGAGAGACTCGTTGTCTTTGCTGAAGCCTGGGGCCCCGTAAACCAGAAAATAGGAGCCCTCATCCTTCACCACACCCACCAGCACCTGGGGGAACAGGATGAAGGAATGGGGGTGGGGGTAGGGGCAGACACACACACACAGGCAGACAGAAACAGATGGACAAAAGAGCCAGAGAGATGGACAGTTACAGACCCAGAACCACGGAGAAGAAAGTATGAGATAGGGGAATGGATGGAGAGGAGAAAATATACCCACATTTTCTTTCCTCTCTGTCCCACTGGCCACCCTGGGATTGAGCCCTCAGGGAAGAGAAGCCTGGGCCTTTGGGAGTGGGTCTTGAGGAGCCCTTAGACCTGGGTCCCCAGGGATAGGGTGGGTGGGAGAACAGGCATAGAGGAACCAGCTCCACCCCTTCCAGCCACTAGTCACCTGCAGGCCATGGAAGTCTCCAGTGTTGATGAGGGCCTCTGGGGTGTCACTGAGGAAGTCTCCGTCTACCACAGGCACAAAAGAGAAGCGGAAGACACTTTCCTGAGGCAGCACATGCCACTCGTGGTCCACCAGGTCCTGAGCTGGCCGTGTCCGCAAGCAGGTGACCAACTCTGTGTCATTGCTACCAACCCCACCTGGGGGACAGCCTACAAGACGTGCTAGTAGTGTGGCCCTGCGGCGGGCCTCTCCCATGCTCACAGTAGCCCAAGGCCCATTGGGTGCACCGCTCTGCAGCACAGCCCTGTGGAACAGGCCCCGGCTGGGTGGGGACAGCAGGTGCATACCCACAGAGGCAGCACCTGCACTTTCCCCAAACAGAGTCACTGACGTTGGGTCCCCCCCAAAGGCTGCCACATTCTCCTGCACCCACTGCAGGGCCAGCCTCTGATCCAAGAGACCCACATTGCCTGGAGCCTCCCGACTCCCTGGCAGGGCCAGGAAGCCAAAGGCTCCTACCCGGTAGTTCATGGATACTAGCACAGTCCCCTCTGCCTGGGCCAGGAAGCGGCCATCATACACGTCCAGGGAAGAGGCCCCACTGTAGAAGCCACCCCCATAGATCCAGATGAGGACCGGGGTGGGGGACTCAGGCCGAGGGTATGGTGTCCACACGTTGAGGTAGAGGCAGTCCTCACTCAGCTCACGGTTTGGGTTCCACATCTCGGTGCCCTCAAAGCCAGGGTACAAGGTGTCCACGTATTGGTAGCAGACACTTTGGAAGGCTGTAGCATCTAGCACCCCTGGCCAGGGTCGCTTGGGCTCCGGTGGCAGAAAGCGACGGGGGCCCACGGGTGGCTCTGCGAAGGGGATGCCCAGAAAAGCAGAGACAGGGCCCCCAGGGGCCATTAGGCGGGTGCCCCGAAGCCGGCCCCCACGCACCATCACCAGCAGCTCTGGGTCCTCCTGGTGCTCAGCTTCTGCCCCTCCTCCCAGGAGGAAGAGGAGGAGGAGGAGAAGTGGGGACACTGGGAAGGGAGTGTGCAGGGGACACCACGGGGGCCTCATGGCTGCCAAGGCAGGCAGGCGGCTGCTGGGAGAAAGAAACACAGGGTGAAGGCCTCAGGCTGCCTGGAGGGAGATTAGGTAATACTCTTGCCCAGGGGTTATTGCTAAGCTGCAGAGGAGGTGGGGCAGGTTGGCAAAGAGGAGGAGAGAAATGGAGGGAGGGAGATAGACAAGCAGAGACAAGGACACAGGCACACAGTGAGAAGCAAAAGGTGACAGAGATCAGGCACATATACATCCAGACAGACAATGTAAGGAACAGAGATGAGGCCTGCCAAGCAATATCCTGCCCTGACCCACAGAGGATGCACCACCCTCACCTCCTTCCCCTAGCTGGGTGGACTGGGTTGGGCCCAGTGCGAGCTGGGTGGGCACCTGCACCAGAGGCCGCAGTCCACGAACAGACCACCCGACAGGGGCGGAGCCCTCGATGACCTGAGGCACCGATGGGGGCGCTTGCGGTGGCGTGAAGGCACAGCCTCGCTTGCGTTGGCCAGGGCTGGGGCCCTGGAGGGTGGGGTGGGCATTCAGGGAGTGGGAGACACAGGTCCTGGGACACCCCAAATCCTGCCTACTCCACACCCTGTCCCTTCCACCCTGTCCCGCCTCAACCACTGTCTGGCACAGCGTGCTGGTACCCTTGGGTGCCCATCAGTTGCGCACCCCTGTCGCCTAGCTTCAGCGAACGGATTCTCCAGCCTTGAACCCCAGGACTACAGTCGCCAATTAGTCCAATGCTGCTGTGCACGCTCCCGCCAGCGGGGGGCAGAAGAGACCGAGAAAATATCGGCGCTCCCCGCCCGGAGTAAAGGAGTGGGGAACTTGGGGTGGGGGTCTGGGGGCTTGCGGGCATTGCGGAGGGGTCTGAAGGTCGAACCTGGACGCCTGTGTTCTCGGAGCTCCGGAGATCCCCGGCTGCAAGGGGCGGGAGCACTATTTTGGGGCCGCAGCTGCTGCGGTTCCGGCATCTCCAGCCAAGGGATCAAAATTCCCCGGGTCGGAACTCCCCCCCCCCC